CTCAAAATTCTGCAAAAAAAAAATTTTCCTCCTCCTTAACTTTTACACTTTTTGACCAATTGACCTAAAATTTGAAACCAACTTACATTTTTGCATGAAATTTGCAGAAAAATAAAAAACTTTTTTTAGAATGAATTTAAAATATGTCTTTAATTCAAAATAACTGAAAATGCTTTGAAAACAAAGTTTTCTCCTCCCTATATTTTATCATTTTTGACCTATTGACCTAAAATTTTCTGTTAACTTTTATTATTACGTATACATTACAGAAAGAATGTAGAAAAAAACTACAAAAAATGTAGTAAACAGTATTTTTTTATCAAAAAGTCAATTTTCTCGAAGGGAACAGTTTCTTCATCCATGACTTTAACACTTTTTGACCTATTGACCTACAATTTAAAACGTAATAACATTTTTACATGAAATTTGTAGAAAAATACAAAAACTACTTTTGGACTAAATTTAAAATATGTTTTTAACTATAAAAAAAACCCAAAATTCTTTGAGAAACAAGTTTATCCCTACGTATTATTTACACTATGTGACCTATTGACCTAAAATTTTTTGTTTACTTCTATTTTTACGTGTAAACTGTAGGAGGAATGTAAAATATATTTTTGGATTTAAAATTATAAGTATTTTTGATTATAAAAGCTCAAAATTCTTCGAAAAAGTGTTTCCCCCTTCTTAACTTGTACACTTTTTGACCTATTGACCTAAAACTTTTTGGATATTTAATTTTTTACATATAAATTGTAGAAGAAATGTAGAAAATTTTTTTGGAATTGATATAAATAGTATTTTTTTATCAAAAAAGCTCAAAATTCTCAAAGGAGAAAGTTTCCCCCTCTATAAGTTTAACACTTTTTGTCCTATTGACCTAAAACTTCTTGAATATTTAATTTTTTACGTATAAATTGTAGAAAAAATGTAAGAAAAAATTTTGGAATTGATATAAATAGTATTTTTTTATCAAAAAAAGCTCAAAATGCTGGAAGGACGAAATTTTTATCTCTATAACTTTGACACTTTTTAACCTATTGACCTAAAATTTTGTAGATTTTTAATTTTTTACGTGAAAATTGCAGAAGAAATGTAGACATTTTTTTGGAGTTGATATAAATAGAATTTTTTATTAAAAAAGCTTAAAATTCTAGAAAAAGAAAGTTTCCCCCTTCTTAATTTTCACACTTTTAATCCTATTGACCTAAAATTTTCTGAATATTTAAATTTTTACTTGTAAATACTAAATAGCAAAAGAAAATGTAGAAATTTTTATTGGAATTGATATAATTAGAATTTTTTTTATCAAAGAAGCTTAAAATTTTTAGAAAAATAGTCTTTTTTCCTTAAATTTTTTACTTTTTGACCTAAAATTTATAACTTGCGATTATTTTCACGTGTAGTTTATGCAAAAAAACGTACAACAATTGTTCGAATTTTCAAAAAAGAAAAAAATGTAAAAAATAGAATGAGAATAAAAAATATTCTTTGAAAATTTTACGAAAAATTAATTCAACGACTCGTTCAGTAGATTATATTCTATTTCGCATACAAAAGAAAGAATAGAATAAAAATAAAAAAAAAAGTTGTAAAAAAAGGATTGAAGAATGGAACGTAAGAATGTGACATTAAAATAAATATTGTATGAACGTGAGAGAGACGAGTTATTCTTGAAGTAATATTTTGTCACTTAACCCATCACCCTCAGGGTCGCACGAAAGCGCCAATCCCAATAATACAATCATAGGCAGATAATACGCGAGGGCAGTTAGTAAGTTTCTAATGCAGAATGTCGACCCAGTTAGAAATAGAGCCAATAATAAATAAAACCTTGTACTTAAAAAAAGTTATTCCCTAATGTGAGCTTATTTTTATTTTCTCGAACTAAGTTACAAAAAAAATAAAACTAGAGTCTCTCGTGTAATTTGAATATATAATTGTACATAAAGTTAGCAATACATAAACTTGCGGGAAAAAAGGAAAAAAAAGAAAAGTTAACACTGCGACATAAATAAAATTAAAAAGAGTATTAATTACTTCGCACAACTGTTGATATTATATACGCATAGAGAAGAATTTTATATGAACTAAATTGTAATTTATTTAAGTAAAATTAAAGTTTATTTCTCGCAGAGTCTACAATCATCAATATTAGAGTCAGAGGCTAATAAACTTTTTTATTTCGATCAAATTAAATTTTATTTGGTTCAAATAAAATTTTTTATTTGTGTTGAATAAACTTTTTATTTGTTTCGGATAAATTTTTATTTTGATTCAAATAAAAATGTTATTTGGGTTGAATAAAATTTTTATTTGTTTCATGTAAATTTTATTTGTTTTCTGATTCTTATTCTGATTCAGATTTAGATATTGATTCTGTTCCTGCTTCTGACTCGGATTCAACCTCTGACTCTAATTCTGATTTAACCTCTAACTTTAATTCTGATTTTGATTTTGACTCCAATTCTGATTTTGATTCTGATTCTGACTCTAATTTTTATATTAATTCTGATTCTAGTTCTGACTCAGTGTCTGACCTTAATTTTCATTCTGATTCAGCCTCTGACTCTAATTCTGAATTTGATTCTGATTCTGAAACTAATTTTGATTTTGATTCAGATTCTCACATCAATTTTTGTAATAATTTTGATTCTGGTTCTGATACAAGCTCCGACTCTAATCCTGATCTTGATACTGATTCTGATGTAAACCCTGACTTTAATTCTGATTCAGCCATAGACTGTAATTGTAATTTTGATTCTGATTCAGCTTCTGAATCAAAATCTGATTTTGACTTTGACTCTCATTTTGATTTTGAATCTGACTCTAATTTTGATTTTCATTCTGACTCTAATTTTTATATTAATTCTGATTCTGATTCTGAATCTAATTCCGATTTTGATTCTGATTCAGACTTTAATTTTGATTTTGTTTTTGATTCTGATTCATTAACTGACTTAAATTCAAATTCAGGATCCTATTTTAATTTTGATCCTGATTCTGATTCAGACTCTGACTCAAATTCTGATTTTGACTCTAATTTTTATAATAATTCTGATTCTGAATATGATTCCGATTCTGATTTTGACTCTAAATACGATTTTGTTTCTGATTCTGACTATAATTTTAAATAAATTCTGATTTAGCCTTTGACTCTAATTCTAATTTTTATCCAGACTCTGACTCTAATTCTGATTTTGATTCTGACTCTAATTCTGCTTCTGACTCTAATTCTGTTTTTGATTCTTATATTATTCTAACTCATATTTTTATATTAATTTTGATTCTGGTTCTGAATCAACCTCTGACTAATTCTGATTTTGATTCTGATTCTGATTCTAATTGTGATTTTGACTGTAATTCAGATTTTGATTCTGACTCTAATTCCGATTTTGATCCTGATTCTGACTCTAATTTTGATTTTGTTTTTGATTCAGATTCAGCTTCTGACTCTAATTCCGATTTTGATACTCTGAACCTAATTCAAACTCAGACTCTGATTTTGATTCTGATTCAGACTCTAACTCTAATTTTGATTCTAACTTTGACTCTAATACTGATTTTGATTCTGATTTGGACTCTAATTCCGATTTTGATTCTGTTTATGACTCTAATTTTTATATTAATTCTGATTTAGCCTTTGACTCTAATTTAGATTTTGATTCACCTTTTGACTCTAATTCTGATTTTGACTCTAATTCCGATTTTGATTCGGTTTTTGACTCTAATTCCGATTTTTATTCAGACTCCGACTCTAATTCTAATTTTAATTCTGTTTATGACTCTAATTTTTATATTGATTCTGATTTAGCCTTTGACTCTAATTTAGATTTTGATTCAGATACTGCCTCTAATTCTGATATTGACTCTAATTCCAATTTTAATTCGGTTTTTGACTCTAATTCCGATTTTGATTCAGATTTTGACTCTAATTCCGATTTTGATTCTGATTTTGACTCTAATTCCGATTTTGATTCTGATTTAGCTTTTGACTCTTATTTAGATTTTGACTCTAATTCCAATTTTGATTCGGTTTTTGACTCTAATTCCGATTTTGATTCTGTTTGTGACTCTAATTTTTATATTGATTCTGATTTAGCCTTTGACTCTAAGTTAGATTTTGATTCAGATTCTGAATCTAATTCTGATTTTGACTCTAATTCCGATTATGATTCGGTTTTTGACTCTAATTCCGATTTTGATTCTGATTTTGACTCTAATTCCGATTTTGATTCTGTTTATGACTCTAATTTTTATATTGATTCTGATTTAGCCTTTGACTCTTATTTAGATTTTGATTCAGATTCTGCCTCTAATTCTGATTTTGACTCTAATTCCGATAATGATTCGGTTTTTGACTCTAATTCCGATTTTGATTCTGTTTATGACTCTAATTCCGATTTTTATTCAGACTCCGTCTCTAATTCTGATTTTAATTCTGATTTTAATTTTTATATTAATTCTGATTCTGATTTAGCCTCTGACTATGATTCCGATTTTGATTCTGACTCCAATTTTGATTTTGTTTTTAATTCAGATTTAGCCTCTGACTCTAATTCTAATTTTGATTTTGATTCTGATTTAGCCTCTGGCCCTAATTTTGATTCTAATTGTGATTCAGCCTCTGACCCTATTTTCGATTCTTGTTCTGATTCAGTCATCGACTGTGATTGTAATTTTGATTCTGAATCAGTCCCTGACTCTATACCTGATTCAGCATCTGACTCTAATTTTGATTCCAGTTCTAATTCAGCCTCTAACCCTAATTTTGATTCTGATTTTGTTTCAGCCTCTGATTCTAATTCTGATTTTATTTCTGATTCAGCCACTGACTCTAATTTTGATTCCAATTTTGCTTTATTGTAATAAATGTTTTCATTATAATTACCTAGGATTTCCTTAGGTTATCCTGTGGATTTTTTCTGATGAAGGGGATTTCAGTAGTAAAAATAAATGTCAATAGTAAAAATAAAAAAAACTATTCATTCAAAACTCACCGACTAAATAACGGATGCCACAATTGATGCTCCTCAAGATTACTCCCAGTGGAACTGACTTCAGGCTCCTGTTTCAATAAACCCGTACGCACTCGAAGTAAAGACGAATATGATGAACCATTCTTTCGACTCCTCGATAAATCAATTGGCGCCGGCATCAATGTACCAATTGGTTTACAACTTAATTTTGGTCTCACTCTAATATTACCACTATTCGTTGTCTTCTTTGCCATTGTATTCACACAATCCATTGTAGCACCACCATAATCCTGTTGTCCCATTCTACCAATACCACCACCACCACTACCACCAAACGAATCATGTCCCTGATCCAGAACATACTGAAGATGCGCTATCGATATCACCAATAAATCCGGATCTCTTAACAATTCCGGCCTGTTGAGTGCCTCGGGTAGTCGTAATTCAGGACGGGAGGTTAATAACTTGGGTATTTCTATTGATGGCGCCGCTGCTAGACCGGGGAGACAGTGTCTAGGAACAAGGAGTGGATCGGGAATTAAATGACCCACTGTTTTTAGCAATTGACGAAGTTGCGTGGCGGGACTTTGGGGAATGTCGGAAATTGTCGATGTCGCGTCGACAAATGTCTCCCATTGTTGATTTGTGTTGCGAAAGTGTTGATAGCGAAGGTAGTGTCTTTGTTGGGCGAGGAGAAAGTCGTTTTGGGAATTGGTCAGACGATTCTGATATGTTGGGTGAACTTCGGGGGTTTTCCACATGTTTGGACGTTCCTCATCTTGATGATTTGGTTTTTGGGTTGTTTCTGGCTCCAGACATGGGGTTGAGAGTATCCCCTTTAGGGTGAGATCGTTTTTCGCGTCTTCGGAGCAGGACACCGAGCACGGAGGACTTGGAAGTAGACGTTCCAAATAGGCGGAGGAGGATCTTGGCAGTATTGGCGAGCAGGGAATTCCGCTTGGTTGCGGCGACACAACACTTCGGGTCTTTGGATCTTCGATTTCAAATCTTGAAACCTGTTTCGCTTGTGCCTCGTTTGATGACACGACTTGCAGGAGGGATTTCTTTGGGACTTCCGCTTTCTTTGGATCAGTTCGTTCCCTCTCATCAGAGTCGATTCTAACCGTACTCTCTGGACTTTCGCTAAAACCTCTTTCGGATTTTGTTCCCAATCTCCAATTTGGAATTGCTATTGCTATTTCCTGCATTTGGGAGTCGGGAGATCGGTTTTTCTTGGTGACCGATACGGACAGTCCAGGAGTATTTCGCAGAGCTTTTAGAATTCGGGAACTGTCCGTTTCGGTTGGTTTTGGATTGCTGTTGCTTTCGATTACTTCGACAATTTCGACATCCTTTAGGCACTTGTTGGGGTACTCGGCTAATGGGGTTTTTTGCAGCGGACTAGGAGAATAGTTTTGGGGTTCTTCGACTTGTTCGTCGCTTTTTTCGACGTCGTCTTCAATACCAGTGAGGGATAATTCAAGTTCCTCGAGTAGTTTCGCGGATTTTAGACTCAGCACCAGTTTTGAGTTACCAAACGATGTGGAGTCGAGCATTTTCAATATGTCCTGAAAATCGTCATCACTGGAATGATCCATGTCCGTTTGGGATTCTTCGTTATGATCCGCTTTTTCCCTTTCATGAAGGGTCTCCTGGTCTTCTAGGTTCGTAATCTCCTGCTGCACTTGGTCCTCTTCGTAGTCTACCTTTTCTAGAGCCATCTCCATAATGTCTGGATTTGGCGACTTTTGCAGACTTTGTCGATCTTCGATTTGACGATTTAAGATTTCACCATCTTCGAATTCATTATCAACGATTTCGCGCTCTACGCTATCACGATCGACACTTTCACTATCTTGTAGATCGTCATCAGAGGGGATGTAACTATCCTCCTGGAGGTTTTTCGACGTATTTTTGTAGTGCTGCCCGTCTTCCATTTCGGTCAATTGGAGCTGTTCCAGCACAACTCGGGGCTGCATCAGGTGGTCGAAATCAATCCGCTTTGGGGCATTGTCACCCTTTTGGGTCTTTGGCTTCTTGGTGCCAACCTCCTCGCTGATGGTGTTAATACCCCGATTGCTACTGATGGTACTTCTGTTATTGGTGCTACTGATCGTATTTCTATTACTGGTGGTACTCCTATTGAGGATGCTAATTCTGTTACTAATCGTACTTCCATTATTACTGGAATTTCTATCAGTGGTGGCACTTCTACTGGTGGTTTTGACCTTATTGATGCTATAGAAGTTATTAGTGGTATTGACGGTATCGTCATTATTGGTGGTATTGACATCATTGACGGTATTGATGATCTGGACCTTATCGGCCACATTGATGCTGTGGACTTTACTGTCAGAATTGATGGTATGGACGTCACTGTCGGTATTGACGGTATGGACCTTATTAGCGGTATTAACAGCATTATCGGTATTGACATCATTGACCATATTAATGCCATTGAGGGTACTGATGCTATTGATGGTATTAGTGGTACAAACACCGCTAACACTCCGTCTTTTCCGCTTCTGCTTCGGATTCCGTCGTTTCCGCATCTTCCAGGCATTAATACCATCTGTTGTGGAGTAACCAAGAACTACGTGTTCCTTCTTTCGCTTACGATGTCTAACTTTTTTCTGCAATTCCAATTTCTTTTCTAGCTCCTCGAGTTTCCTCCTCTGCATCTTCTTCTGGATCTCCTGCCTCTTTCTCCTCTGCTCCTCCTCGGCGATTTGTTTTTCCTTTTTCCTCAGTTCATCATTTCTCCTAATCTCACTCCTCTTACGGATCGCATTCCTATTCTTCAATTCCACTTGACCCTCCGCTTTTCCATTAAACATAATCTCCTCTAACTTTCGCAAATTCTCCAACTTCTCCATCTCCTCTTGCTGTATTCGAACTTTTTCCTGGAGCATTCGCACCTGCTCTTGCCGCTTTCGAACCTCCTCCTCATGCTGTATTCTCTCTTCCTTCTGCTGGAGCTGAATCTTCTCCTGCAGCATTCGGATCTTCTCCTCCGCAAGTATCTCCTCCGAATGTATTCGCATCTCCTTCGGACGTATTCGTATCACCTCCGGATGTATTCGAATCTTCTCGGAATGCAATCGAACCAATTTCTCCCTCTTCTCATTGTCGATAATCCAGTTATCACTTAGTCTGTCCTTAATTCCAAATTCCTCTAAATCACCATTAGCTAATCTCAATTGATCATCCTTATCGCCATTCTCCTTCTCCGATGACGAATCCTTAGTATCAAAACAACTCCTACCAGCGTATGTATTGCTCGCAGTTCTGGGAATTGATCGCCATCCCTGGGGTGTTTTCGTCAATTTAATACGATTACGTTTATCGTAATCCTCACAACGTACCTCCACTATTTTCTGATCATGCTGCGACGCCCACAGAAAAATTGGATTAACCTTTGGTCTTTTTTGTTCCGGTTCATCGTCACATGTTGTCGTTGATGAAGATGACGACGTCGTTGTTGTTGTTGTCAATTGATAATTTTTTAAACCACGATGCCTATGCCGATGGGGCACAAAACCCCTACTAGACACTGCACTCATTGCTCCATTAAAAATCACCAAAAATCACCATCACTTTTTTTTTTGCTTCTTTCCGAATTTTTCTTCTGGTTCCCCCGAATCATTTCTGGAACAAACCAGAAGTACTTTTGCAAAAATCACTAGTTTAATTCACTATTTCACATTTTTTTTTTGTTAAAGGGGGGACACAACTACATATTGCGAGCGGGAAATAATCACAATGGGTCTAGGTCTTAGAATCCGAAATTTGACTACTCGGGGGGGAAGGGGGGAATTATATTGAAACTTTGGGGTCGATGCACTCGAATGTTTGATTATGAGCCGGCGCGTAATGTGCGACGGCGTCTTGCCGGTATAATAACAAGGATGACATTGTCATATTACGTAAAGTTAACAAGTCGAGAAAAATTCTTTGACTCTTGTTTTTTGATTATATTTATAAACAGAGTAAGAGAGAATGAGTGTGTGAGAGAGAGAGAGAAGGTAAAGAAAATGAGAAAGAGAATTAGTTTTGTCGATATAGAGTCACCGTCACACGAGCTTGATAGGTACTGCCTGAAAATTCTCCGCTTTTGCCGCCCCCGCTCGTTCACTCGAGTCTCTCACTCATCCCTCCTCCCCACCTAGCGATTTCCACTCTCTTGCTCTTTCTCTCTCTCTCTCTCTCTCTCTCTATTCTCCACTTGTGATCATCCCGCTGAATCGGCGAGCGTCCAACCTGCGGCCAACGTGCCGCGTTATGAGAGGAGCAATGCGCAAAAGGGGGAAGAGATTCAGGTGGGGGGGGCGGTGGAGAGTACCCCCCTGGGGGTGGAAAGGGATCGTGGGACGAGAGGGGCGGACGTTAGTTGCAAGTGCGCGGACGCGTACAGGAATATACTTGGGAGCGAGAGTGTGGACATGACTGTGCGAAAGTGTTTTGTCTCTTTCTGGACTTCTGGCGGTCTCTCTTTCTCTCTCTCTCTCTCCTTCTCTTTCGTTCTCCTTCATTTTTTCTCTCTCGCTCTTTTATTCTTTCTCTCTTTCCTTCTAAGCTTACTATTTTATGCTCTCTCTCTCTGATTTTTTCTCTCTTTTCTTCTAAGTTCGCTATGTCTCTCTCTCTCTCTCTCTCTCTCTCTCTTTCATTCTATAGCATGAGAGAGGAGAGTGAATATGAGAAAGAGAGAGGAGGGAAAGAGAACAAGAGAGAAAGAAGCAGAAGTAGAGAGAGAGGGAGAGAAAGAGGCAGAGTAGAGAGAGAAAAAGAGAGAGAGAGAGAGTGATAAAAAGAGAGAGAGGGAGGAAAAGAGACCAAGAGAGAAAGAAATAAAAGTAAAGAGAGAAAGAGATAAAGAGGCACAAGTAGAGAGAGAGAGAGAGAAAGGCAGAAGTAGAGAGAGAGAAAGAGAGAAAAAGGCAGAAGCAGAGAGAGAGAGAGAGAGAGAGAATCTAGTGAGACCAGTACAAGAGTGGGCAAGAGAGAGAGGGAGGGAATTCACTGAAACAGTGGGAAGAGTGAGAGAGAAACAATGATGGTGGGGAGTGAGGGAGGGGAAAGAGAGAAGGATCTAGAAGGAAAAGAGAAGTAAAAGAGAGAAAGATGACGCACTGAGTGTGTGCATGTATAGGAATGATGGAAGTGTGCACAAGTGCAGTTTTCTTTTTTTCTATATATATATATATATATATATATATATATATATATATATATATATATATTTCTTCGCAGGAGACGCTATATATATTGAAAACACATGTTAAAAATGCCATCGAAGAGAAATGCATCTGGAAATAGGTGGAGATGCCCATTCATGTTTAAATATTTGCTCATATAATAATGCAAGAATGTATTGGTTACCACGAGTGTCACTTCTTTTTTGCACTTTTTTTTTTTACTCACACTTGTGCGATATTTTTTTTCCCCTCTATATATTCGTATCTGTATTTATAAGTATAAATAAATTTTTATATTAATAATAGGAAAGTGAGAAAAAAAAATGGTGATAACAACAATAATATTAGAGTAATAATAAAAACTAGCTAACTTCTTACTACCATTTTTCAATAAAATTAGCAATATTAAAATTAATCGAATATAAAAATTTTCTAATTTAAATTTTTGTTGAAAACATTAGAAAAAATTCAATTTTTGGAGAAATTACAAATAATTATTTGCAGAAATTTAATTATTTTCAAGAAAAAAAATCAAATTCTTCTAATAAAATTCAACTATGTTCAAGATTTAAAGAAAAATTCTCTTAAAAAAACCCAATTATATTTATAAATAACAAAATTCTCCCTCCAAAGTTCAATTATTTTCATAAATGTCACAAAAAAATTCTTGTCCTATAATTTCAATTATTATCAAAAATAAAATGCATTTTTCTACTAATTTCAATGATTTTAGATATCTACTATTTTAATAAAATTTCACAAAAAGAATTCAATTATTTTCAAAAAAAAAATTTTAATAAAATTAAATGCAAACATTTAATTATTTTCATAAATATTATAAAAATTTCACAAGAAATTTTGTTATTATTAATTTATGCCAAGAAATTTTATTAAAATTTTTTTAAAATAATTTAATTCCTGCTAATTTTTTACAAGAATTTAATTATTTTTGAAAATTTTAATAAAATTCTTCGCAAAAATTCAATTATTTTCATAAATAATAAAATTCAATGCAGAATTTCAATTATTTTTAATATTTTAATTGAATTTCTCGAAAAATGTAATTATTCTTAAAAATTTTAATTAAAATTCGTTGATAGAATTCAATTATTATTTATTGAAAATTTGTTGATAATGATTTTTCATAGGAATTAAAATTTTAAGAAACGTTCAATTATTCAATAAATTATTTATTTGCATTCTTACATTTAAATTTGTATTTAAATAATTGAATTCTAGTAGAATTTTCTAATAAAAATTGATTTTCATTTCATAAAAATGAATTAATGTTAAAATTTTAGATAATAATTTATTGAATATTAAATGCAATAGAGCGTGAATTTTAAAAAATAATTGAATTTTGTAATTAATTTTTTTAAAAGTTTAATTGAGTTTTTTTAATATTATTTTTAGTTTCTATTTGTTAATTAAATTAATTTAATTAGTTACATTAATGAAAAGAAGTGAAAAAAATTCTAGGCTTCTTTGTTTCTTAACTTTTTTATAATTTTTCTTTTCAAATATTTTCAATTTTAAAATTATTAATGTATTGAAAATCATCGAATTGTTGCAAAGAATTTTATCAAAAAATTTGATGATAATAGAATTCCTTCAAAGAATTTTGGATTATTTAGGAAAATAACTGAATTCTCGCAAAGAATTTTATTAAAATTTTTAAAAATCCTAATTGAATTCTTTTGTAAAATTTCTTTAAATTTGTTTTTAAACTAATGGAGTTTCATTAATAATTTTAATTGAAAATTTTGAAAGCAATTGAATTTTATGAAGAAGAATTTTATTGAAAATTGTATTTGAAAATAATTCAATTCTTGCGAATAATTTTACTAATTATTAAAAATAATTTAATTTTTCTGAAGAATTTATTCCAATTTTAGAAAATAAATGAATTTTACGTTAATATATTTGAAAATTTAAATTCTTTGGAGGAATTCTATTAAAATTGTTTTGAAAATAATTGAATTTCTGCAAAGGATTTTACTATTTATAAAAATAATTGAATTATTGCGAAAAATTTTACTATTTATAAAAATAATTTGAAATGTTTCGAAGAATTTATTAAAATTTTTAAAAATGATTAAATTGTTATGAAGAATTTTAAAGAAATATTTGAAAATAATGAAATTTTTTCGAGAAATTCAATTAAAGTTGTTTCGAAAATAATTGAATTTCTTTAAAGAATTTTATTAAAATTAAGTATATACATATACCTATTCAAAATAATTGAATTCTCTCAATATTTTAACGAATATATTTAAAAATTGCATTGAAAGTAATTTAATTTTTATATAGAATTTTTAAAAATATTTTGAGAATAATTGAATTATATTTTAGAGAATTTTAAATTCTTGTTGAAATTGTATTTTAGGAAAATTTTTGAAAATACATATTTAAATTCTTTCATGTAATTTTATTTAAATTTCATTAAAAATAATTTAATTTCTGCAAAGAATTTTTGTATTTATAAAAATAGTTATAGTTTCGAAGAAATTATTAAAAATTTTAGAAAATAATTGAAAATTTATGGAAATATTGAAAAATATTTGAATTCATCGGAGAAATTCAATTAAAATTGTTTTGAAAATCATTGAATTTTTGTAAAGATTTTACTATTTAAAAAAATAATTTAATTGTTTAGAAGGATTTATTAAAATTTTTAGAAAATAATTGAATTCTTTCGTGAAATTAAAAAAAAAAATTTTTAAATATGAATATTTGAACTGGCCATCTCCCCCGGAGATTTTGGGAAACTGACTGTGATATATGTTAGTTTATACCTCCTACTGACACGAAAAATTTAAATTTCACGTAAAATACATGTTTTACGAAAAAAATTCCCTTTTGGAAAAATTTTGTTTTAGCCCCATGCTGGGGCTAAATGTTAAATTCTATTTCCAGCCTACTAAAAATATTTTCTAATAGGTGTTAAGTATTAGATAAATTAAATTATACGTAAACAAGTAATTTAGTTAATAAAACATCTACGTTTATTTAACAAAAGTTTTAGAACAGTTATAAAGTTAATAAATTAAAATTCCAAAAAAAAAATTTTTTTTGGTTTATTTTACGTGAACGCTCTTGTTTTTTGACAGAGTACTTGCCTAATGTCAAATAAATAATTTTTAAACAAATAAACCCAAAAAACGAAAAATATAAAAAAACTTTTTTAACAACATGTAAAAATACATTCAACATTTCGCCCCAGGGTTTTTTTTTAGCTTTAACAACAAATATACAAAATCTGACTACAAATATTTAGCAAAAATCTTTAGGTACATCTTCAGGAGATTTAAAAATTGAAATTTTTTTTTTCGTAAAAATTTTACAAAAGTCGGCGAACCTGATAAAAAGAAAAAAATTATACAAACTGAGTGTGAGTAACAGTAATAATAGTACAATAAAGAGAAACTTTGCGTATACATTGTATGGGCGCATATATAGTGTCAATGGAAAACTCTATAATATTTATAAGATATAAAAGTGTTTAATTTTGTCAGAGGGAGAAAAAAGAAGAAAAAAAATGTTTTAATCGTTTTAGTTATGTATATAATAATAATATGTGAACTTTACCTAGCTTGCAAACAAAAGTCATTTACAGTCGCCAATAAAACTTAAAAAGTACTTAATATCATAAACTGTTTTAATAAACTGTTTCGCACTTAAGAAGTTTACTCTTTTTTTCATTATAACTACCATACATATAATTATATGCATTATATGTGCGTATATATAAATGGGTATAAATGTCACTATAGTTTGGACTTTGGCTTATTTAGATGAACTTTTTTTTGACTTTAAATCATTCACATTTCTATTAATATTTGCAACTAGCACAATAATGTGCGTATATTTAATATTTTTTAGCAACTATTAAAATTTCTCAACGCCAAGATTTTTGACTATCAATATTTCTGACTAGCAATATTTTTTAACTATCAACGTTTTTGACTATCAATATTTCCGACTACTAATATTTGAAACTATTGACGTTTTTGACTATCAAACTATACTAATGTTTCAGCCTATCAAAGTTTTTGACTATCAATATTTCTGAATACCAATATCTGGAACTATCAGCGTTTTGACTTTTAAACTATAATAAAGTTTTTTACTATCAATATTTCCGACTACTAATATTTGAAACTATTAACGTTTTTGACTGTCAAACTATACTAAAGTTTTAGACTATCAAGGTTTTTGACTAACAATATTTCTGAATACCAATATCTGGAACTATCAGCGTTTTTTACTTTCAAATTACTAAAGTTCGACAGACAAAATACTAAA